CTCCTTTAAGATAAGCCGGCACAACCTCCAATTTTCGACCATTTGCAATCCCATTTGCATTGCACGCTCGGGTAAAGTCTTCCAACCATGCTACTGGATCTTGATTCCCCCCATAGAAATATGGTAGCTCGGCTACCTTTCCTTCCCGGCGAGGTGGATTGGTAATCGCCTGGGTATTTCCGGCCAATGCGTTGTTAGTATTTGGCATAGCTTTAGTTAAAGCGGCTATGGCGGCTCTCAATTGCTGGAAATCTTGTTGGTTTGGTTGGGCCATATTATCAGGCTGTTGAGCTATTGGTTGTGGATTATTGTTTACAATTTCTTCTGAACCAGGTGATGTTGAAAACCTAATTTCGCTATAATTATAGGTGATTATGAATAAATCTAGGCGGAATCCTTGGGTAATGCTGTATATGTTCCAAATTTCTTGTTGTAATGCTTCAAAATTTAGAATAGGTGTGTCGGAATATCTAATACTGAAAATTAAATCAATTATAGCTATCCAAATGTCTTCTCCTTCGACGTATGATAGCTCCTCTAAATACTGTTGAGTGTACCGAGTATAAGTTATGGCTGGGTATTCCGAGCTGTACCAGTCCCAAAAGGTACTAAAGTTGTCGGATAATAACAGTTCTGGTGGGTAACAGTGGATGCAGGATCGGTCACGATGACGATAGGTGATGTTAGGGCTTCTTAGGTCTTGATGTAATCTATCGTGGTTAATGTTCCTTTGAAAATGCGCTACAAACATACACTTTGGGTCAACAGGGATGTTAAGGATTCTGGCAGAAGGCACCAATTGTTATGAGTCAGTTCTTATGTGCTTAAAAATAAGCGGTATATTTAGTGTAAGCAGAAGAATCGGTAGGGTCAGTAATTAATAGGATCGGCGTAGATCTTATACTAATTCAATTAATTCAATGTAAATCTTAACAAAAATCCGATCAAATGCGAATATGGTATAGCTCTCCAAATAGCCTATACGATCAGACGCGAGTAAGGGATTAAACTAACCAAATACAGACAATGAATAAAAATAAAGTGTATAAGAAATAACAACACGAAAATAAAGGGTATATGGGTTTTAATTAATTTTATTAAAGATTTTTAAGAACTGTTCTAAAGAACTACTTTTTTATAATGCGCATTTACACTGTCTTTTTATAACAAATTTTTACTAAGAAAAATAATATCTAACATATTAAATTTATGCTACATATGCTATATATATTATATATACTATATATACTATATATGCTATATACCCTATATATACTATATTATCTATATATACTATTTATTCTATATGTTCCCTATATACCATATATTCTATATATCGGACATATATAACATATCGAACATATTCGACATCTACTACATTGATCGGCATCACGGGTTCAGTTATATCACGTGATTTCTGCGTAACAATTTACTGCGTAACACTAGAAGTGAAATCCCATATTATATTTTTAAATTTTTTAGATCACAAATTTTTTAGAGAATATATAGTAACTTATATTATAATATCCCTTATACCTTTAATTACGAATACAATCAAATAATAACAGCATTGACAAATGATGGATTATTTTAATTGGAATAAAAAAATTAAATCTACTTCATCATTAATTAGTAAATATAAATATATTTATTTTAAATACATTATTAAATAATATGATATTTCAATAGACAAAATATTTATTTAAAAAGTCAACCAAAAGAAACAAATTTATAGAATCCTGTCACTATAACTGATAATGGCTAGGTCAACCAAATTAGGTGTTAATGTCTATTAAAAATTATTCTCTGCAAGTTTCACATTATGCAAAAATTTGGTAAATCTTTAAAGATTTGAATATTGACCTCACAATAGATAAATATTAAAAAATAATACTATCTAGTTACAATAATTAGGGTTTCTAATTCAAAGTTTAAAATTATATTAATTTGAAATACTTCAAAAAAACATTATTTATATAAAACAGAAGGCAATACAAAATAGTAAAAATAGAAACCACTATTCAATGCTTTCAACACTTTATAACAACTGCTGATTCCTTATAACTCTTGTTCAAACCCCAAAAAAAAGAAGTCGTGAAATATGTTTTAAGTCTATTGCTTATTTCATGCCAACCCTGAAATTTTAAAAGGAATTTTTTTTTATTTGTCATATTTTTGTCATTATTTTTTTTTGTTTCAAAGACACACATATAATAAGAAACATTTTTAAGGTATGGGGATCTTCGTTTTCAAAACCTTTGTCTCTCATCATCAAAGAATGAACAAAAAATCATGTTGACACATCGTCAAAGATGCTGATCATGCACTATCCTACAACCATGTTGGTTTAACTTTTGGGCTAAGAATTATGGTTTAAACACCTTCCTGATTCTTATGACTCTTGCTGTAATGATAAAATTTTCAGACTTTATGAATATTTATTATTTTTACATTATCAAGTTCACAGTTGTATTCAGTGTTCAAAATTCAGAACGTTAACACAACACACATGATAGTTTTCAATCATGTGTGCTATATTATATAAGCGAACATTTAATTCGTGATCTGTCTCCGAACCAGTGAAGACTATTAATACATTTTTGGGGAATTATTTTTACAATTTAATTAGCAGGAAATCCAGATAAGAATGATAGATATAGCGTGCAGGAAATGTGGAATAAACTTACATTATATTTTAAAAGAAACTGCTTTTCCAAAAGTGTTAATCATTTAAAATTGGTATACTGCTCGATACAAGCAAAATATCGCATAACAAACTAGACAGCCTGTGATTGATAGAAATAAATAATTTTAATACTTTTTTTTTTTGTTTATAACTTTTAAAACAAATTATTTACCAGCATATAAATAATATTTTAATAAAAAAAAATATCAATTTTGTGATGTTACACTTTTTGTAATTGAATAATATAACATTTTTAAAGGCCGGAATCCAGTGTCGCTAAAAAAAAATTTTTTAACTAATCGTACAATAAAAAAAATTATTGACGAACCTTTAGTCCCTTCAGTTTTAAGCACTATTTTTCAGCCAGGGTTGTAATACAAATATAGCTAGTCATTTTTTAGGCGATATCACCAATTTGTATAACGTCGTAATTTGTATAATGTCGTAACCTTAAATTACAAGTATACGTTGATAAAATTTGTGAAACTAATATATAAGTGTGCAAATTTATCATTCAATACACTTTGGAACATTGTTCTGTAGGCGGATCACGAATTAAATTTAAACGTGTTTGCAATGCACACATATTTTTATAAACAAGATGTTTATTATATATTATTAATTTTTTATAGACAAAATTTTTATTTTATTTACTATTTTATCAAAATATCAAACAAAAGATTTCCAAATTTTCTCTCTTTCATAATAAACCAATATTCATAAGCGCTTTCGTAATCCATCTTTTTTAGTTCCGGACCATTGATTAAGAGATTCTAATGACGTCTTATTTCATAATTTGTTTTTAAGTTTTTATTGTGAAAATATACGTTTAACATTAGCATTTGACAAAGGAATAATTAGTCCTATTTGTGATATTGGAAAATTAATTATAAAATTAGAGTCTGTATCAAAAATATGCTTCCAACATTCACGAAATTTGAATTCTTGAATTTTATAAGATTGTAAGTAAAACTTGACATATCCCCATTCTTTTTTCAACCCAAATTTATCAACAAGTGGTGAAAATTTTTCACATAAAATCATCTTTTCTTTTCCATAAAATTTGCCTAAATATCTTGATTTCCATATTGTGATAATTGTGCATTATTAATAGGTAATTGCTTGGATCAAAAATCCTAAAAACTATAAAGTATTTATAACCATTTTTTTTATTTTTGGTGTAATTTAAGAGCATATTGTATGTATGTAAATTGTATTTTTATAAAGTCAGAATTTCTCAATTTCTTAATATTTTTATTAATAAACTTATTTGACAAAAAAATTTTTAGGAAAATTAATTAACTAAATCATGAGAATTATTCTTTGGATTACTAAGCGCAGCTTTAATTTTATAAAAAAAGTTTATATAATGCTCAAGAAATATCATTAACCTACATTTGCTACATACACATCAGCTAAAATTTAAACCATGGTAAAGTTGTTACCAAAAAAGTTATTCTAAGACAACATTAAAGACTATTCACTACAAGAACGCAGTGGATCATTTAGAAATCATATCTATTGGTATTTTGGACACAAATGTTCAAAGTGTTCCTCAGTAACAGGTGCGAGTTTCGCATTTAAGCGATCAGGCTTAGATAAGACTGGCGGTGGGTCTTTTTGGGAGCAGGTTGCTCTTTAGGAGCTGGTTTCTCCTTAGTAACAGGTGGTTCTTCAGGAACTAATTCCGCAGCCTGTACAACTGGATTATCAGTAACTGGGTCCGCGTCCTCTTGGTCTACCTGTGTCTCCTGTACGGGTTGGATGACTCTACCAAAATTCTCCGCGATTTTTGTCCTGTCAATTATATAATGATTTTCTCAAGTACCCGAACGTCTTAAACGGGTTTTAGAAGTGAACTCCTTAATCTCCATGTTTTAATGAGTGTTTTTTGCTCGCCTTTTTCACTGCACCGGTTCTGCTAAGTGCTATAGAATCGGCACAAGGGATTTCAAATGTGTCGCAGTTATCAGGCCACATCGTATCGAGATAATACCGCATGAAGCGCTGATGATTTGGTATACTCGCTTCGATTAACTCATTCGGGTATTAGGCGCATTTCGAGGGTTATAGCTGGTTAAGTCTCGGTTGAGAAGATTTGACAGTTAGTATAATATTTTTTATTATTAATATTATTTATGCAGATAATTAACCATTAATTTTAGGTTACTAAAGAAAATGAGAAAAAAAAATAAGCAAAAAAGTGAGAAGTTGAATCTCAAATCATTGAAAGATGGAGTGATGATGAAACTGATAAGTTATTATCATATTTAAAAGATAATACGGAAAACTACAAGGAGGAAAAAAAGCTGTTATGTATAATTTAATTTCTACTGAAATCATTAAAACAAAGTCTAGTGACAGCATTAAAGGTAGAATTAAACGAATATTGGAAAAGTATGAAAAAGTAAAGAAGCAGAATAATCAAAAGGATCTGAAAGGGTTGATTGAAAATGGTTTGAAAGATGGATAGTATTTTTGGATGTCGTGAAAATATTAATACTTCTTTTCTTTCAAATGATTCAACAAGATATATCAGTAATGATGAAGAAAAGGAAGTTAAAACTACAAAAAGAAAAAAGAATTCAACAGTAGAGTTTTTGGTTGATGATATGAATAGCATTAACCAAATAGCTGAACGAAAATTTGAATTAGAACGTGATAGAATGGACAAGGAATATAAATTGCAATCAGAAAGGTAGAAGTTGAAAAACAAAGATGGGAGTATGAGAAGGAGCAAGCACGTATGCGACATGAATTACTTATTATTTATACATGTGTGTTGAATGGCATTTCACCATTAACTTCAGTACCTTCTACATATTGGATATTTGGTCTTAAAGCCAACAAAGTACTAGCTCCATAACCCATTAAAATATTATTTGGGTTAGTCATTTCAAAGCTGGACTTTTGGCTTGATAGATAATAATAAGGAATGGATATAGATTTTGGTGATAAAGGTCTTTGTGCTAGAGGTGCTAATTCTAAAGGTCTTATCTTTGCGTTAAAGGTGCTGAATTTAAAGGTGTTGGTTCTATAGGATTTGGTGCTAGAGGTTTTGTGCTAAAGGTCTATACGTTTTTGAAGTTTGCTTAGTTACTTTAGAGTTTCGGACTTTTTGAATTTGTTGAGAAGACATAATTGAAAAAACGCGTAAAAAAGGTTTAACACGCGAAGAGATGACGACTCAAGAAATTATCGAAATATCAATTTTGATTGGTTATTTTTTGGCGTTCGACAAAACCCCCCAAAAAATTGAATAATACGAAAGATGCCGTTTCGGCATCTTTTCGTATTGCGTTGTACAAACTGAACAGCCTAATCTAAAATAAACTTAAATCCGATGAAAATCATTTAATAATCATGTGACAATAGTTATGCTGATAATATATTTACAAATTACACTTAGCTTTTTTTATACAAACCTCAAATGAGTCAAAATTTTTTAATAAACTAGGTAACGGAGAGCATCGCCACCAAAAAGTGATATTTCTGGTTACATGTGATTTCCTCATTTTAACAAATCAATTTTCTTCTTCACTATACCTTTTTTTTATAAACTCATGTTTAGAAGTAGAGTCACAATAACAAGCCAAAACGACATTTATGGATAAAAAATGATTTTTCAAATTTTGTCATTAGATAATGAGTAATAATATTATAGTGCTATAAAACCGTCAAACTATGAAGATTTTATAAGAATACGATGTATTTAGAACAATTATACTAGGAAACGGAAACCGTTATCAAGTCCGAAGCGCAGTTATCATTGTACATCATCACGTGCCGGACGGACAACAGGAAACCAATACGAATAATATATAGTCCTTCGTTACACTTCGGACTAATTAGGAACGTAAAGTTAAAATATTGCACCGAATATTGATTCAAAACCATAATTATAAAAAAAAAGTATCTAAATTTTATTTGTAAAAAAAAAGTTCAATGCATTTTAATCTACCGAAAATGGTTATCCGAAATCACATGTAACCGGCGGCAAATAAATTCGGTTACCACCTTTCGGTGGCGATGCTAGGGTCGTATATTAATTGTCACACAATGTACTTAAATATGATTGGTATTTAAAACAGACAAGAATCCAAGTACCTAATAATCATAAGTGCCCTACGCTTGATAATTAGATATACTATATATTAGTGTTAATTATAAATAAATAAATACAGTGAAACCCGAATAATAAAAAAAAACTGGTAAAAAACTGAAAAATAAAATATTTAAAAAAATTGAAACCAATTAAAATTATGATTTCTTCAGTTTAAAATAAAAAACCAATTAAAGAAATTTTTTTCGGGTTGAAAAAAAAAAAAAAATTTTAATTTCAGAAAAAAAAATAAATTTCCGATGATGCAATTGACCGCAGCATATCACATTGTATGTATAATGGGCTTTTTTATATTAATATTTTTTTTTTCAGCTGAGAAATATATTTTATTTTGAGACAAAATGGATTAGATAAGCCACAAAATCTCATGGATTTGTGCACATGACCATGATAGCCAATCGACTATAATAAATTGGCGCAGATATATCACACATTTCATGTTGCACAATTCAAATTATTTATACAGGAGGGTAATCTAAACATCAAATTTTTTTGACGGAAATTATAAAATGAAAAGTTCATCGCAGAAATGTACAGAGGCCAAGCTAGTTAAATCCTTCTATCTTAAGATAGAAGGATTTAAGAATTTATCTACAAGCGTAACATTAATAACTTTTGTATTTTAAATACGTGAAGTTAAATTAAGTTATATTTATAAATTTTAGAATAATATTCGTTAAATACAGTATAGAATAAACTGTTTTACATATTAAATATATGTATATTAATTATGCTCGCTTAAGTTATATTATAAAAGAAGGCGAAGTTCAAGCACAACTTGTATTCACTTTTTTTTCCATATAGTCATTTTGAACTCGATTGAATCACTTCTCGTGAAAGCCTTAACGTTTATTACAATTATTTTTATATTAACAATCATGTCCTTTATATTTGAGTACTAAAATCCACAAACTAAAGAATGTCAATGTTTGTGCAAGTAGGAAAGTGAATTTAACAAATAATCAAATCAGAAATGCATAATCTAAAGGTGAATTCGGTATTCTATATGTGGCATTCATATTATAATTGTTCGCTTAACAAATGTCATTATTATAAATTCGTTAGGTATATAAATTTTGGTGATGTTTACAAATGGCCAATCGGAAAATTTCTTCCAACTAAATTTTTTTTTCTCCACGTTTTAGAATCCATGCGGAAAATAATGTTAATCCAACTTCCATTTTGTAATGTAGATCTTGGTTTATTTATGATTGATTTACTGTATAAAGTTAAGTAAATACTTCATAGTGTTACAAAGTAATGACTTTTTACGCCCAATATTGTGGCGCAATTATCTAAGCATAACAAATGACCTTTAAACTTGATTTTTAACCGGATAATAATTTACACGTGTTACAAATCCTAAAGTTGCTTTTTTGACATTGCTATAAATGCCCAAATATTAGAAATTATAATAAATAAGGAAATTTGCTTGGACTTAAAATTAAAAGTGGGGGTGATGCAAGTATGATCACAATGGTGCACATGAAGTCGGACAATTGACAAATTTGTTATATTTGATTCATTTATTTTTGAAAAAGCTCCTTTTATCTTCTTTTTGCAATTTTTGGTTTTTTTTCCACATTAGACTATAATATCAATGTCCGTGAACGACTTTAGAAATCAAATCCTATCAGGTTCCGAAGAACAAATAGTCGAAGTCAATCAAAGAGATTTGATTGATAAAATTTTGGCTAGGTAAGCACCCTTAGTTAAAATTGGATTTTCTTTTCGCTATTTTTAATGTTTTTTTTTCGCCATTTAACTTAGGTATTCTTCCAAACATGTAATATATCGGGAGTTATTGCAAAATTCTGGTAATAATTTTATTTATTATTGATTAATTATTGATTTATAATATGATATATGATTATAATAATTATCGTTATTAAATAAAGATGATGCGGAATCAAAAAGTATCCAAATTAAGTTTGAAACTGAACCGAATACGGATAAAGTTACTCGAATTCTGTTCAAAAATGATGGATTCCATTTTAGACCCGAGGATTGGGAAAGGTTAAAAAAAATTGCCGAAGGAAATCCAGATGAGAAAAAAGTAAAATTGTCGAAAATTCTCGTTAAATTAAGTTAGTTAACAAATCTAACTCTACTTTATGATGTATACAGATAGGGGCTTTTGGCGTAGGCTTCTACTCTTTGTTTCAAGTTTGTGAAAACCCATTGTAAGTAATTTTAGTAGTATCGTTACGTGAACTATTAATTAATATTAATTTACGCTTAATTTAATAGTGTTTCATCCGGTGGACAAGGAATGGCTTTCTACTGGCGTGGAAACAAATTATATACAAAGCGGGGAGAACAGGAATCGACTGATAATTGGACAACGTTTTTATTTGACATGAGAGAACCTATGAAGGTGAATATTTATGCACGTATGTTATATTTAGTGCTTGAATCATTCACTATGTTAACCTTTTTTTCATTTAATTAGTTGGAGGACGTTGAAGAATTCGCACAGTTCTTGGTCAATTCGCTGGTATGCTTAAAATAATTTAAATAATATCTTATAATCACTAGCAATAATTTATTAATTTCTTTTTCCATTTTAATAAGGGATTTACGGAAAATCTTCAGGAAATATCTGTGTACTTTAATGACGAATTAGTAATACAACTATCAAAAGAAATACAAGAGCCGGAAATTATGGAGATCACTCCTGAGTTTAATAGGCTTTCTCCACAAGGATTGTTCTACCTTACTTCGGTAGATGTTAGAGACGTTAAACTAAGCTTTAAGAAATTACTTGTTCCGGAAGATATTTGTACAGGAAAATTTTATCCGAAGTACCCAACACCTATATCTCTTAAAATTGCAAGTGGAAATTTGGATGTTAGAGCCGAAGATGAGTTTTCTACGAAGATGAAACGGATTACAAAAAAAGAACTACCACGTGAAACAACCATTCAAATGATTTATACTGGATTTGAAGAGCATGGAAATTATGTTTCTCCGATCTTCAAGGACTTGCTTCCATATCCGGAACAAGGAAGGATATATATTGGTTTCCCTACTCATCAAACTACAGGATGTTGTTCTCACTTATCAGCTCGTGTAATTCCTACTGTACGTATATTTATCTTGATTATAAAAAAGAAAAAAATTACTTTCATTAATACTAGTATTTACATTATTTAGGTGGAGCGAGAATCGATAGATTTAGTGGATATGACTTTAGCTAAATATAATAGCGAGATTCTATGTTTAGCAGGAACATTGTGTAGAATCTTGTATGAAGATGAAATGAATAAAATAAATAGGAGTATTGATACTCAAGGTTTTGAATGGTTTGAAGAACGGGCAGCACGTGCTTTAACACACTTTACCTTTAGTACAACTACACCAAATGAGCAAGTTGGGAAAATAACAGAGTCCCGATTTTTCAATTGTTCAGAAGAAAAATTGCCAATTCTTTCAACAACCGGCATCCTTCCGATATCTGATGTTCGTATTCCTAACCCAGAAATGGCAGAGTTCATAAGGACCGTTCCACTTGTTCCAATGTTTATATTTGAACAATGTAAAGCATTTTTTAAGAAAGCAAGTTCGATGAATCTTATAAGAGAATTGAATTTTCACGATGTTTTAACTGAATTGGGGAGTCGAGAATTTTCCGAAAACGAAATGATTGAACTTTTGAAATGGATGATTTCCTATTTGTCAAAAGGGAATACTGTTGATACATCAGAATTTGAACGGTTTATGGAACTTGCACATATTGGTAATAATTTTCTACCTTTGAAAACAATCCGTTGTTTTTTGAATCCAGGAATAATTCCGCCCAATGTAGATGTTCCAGATTATGTATTGCCACATGCTATTTATAGAAATTTAAATCGCCAAGATCTTATAAAATGGTTTAGATGGTCAGAGTTATCTTTAGTTAATTGGACAAGGTTTATTGTCAACAAACCTGATTTGGAAACGGACCCTACATTTGCTGAAAAGATTCATGAAATTTTAGCAAGGAATTTTAATAAAATTTCGAAAAATGACAAGAGAGTACTTCGCCAGTTATTTGAGCGAAAGAGATGCATTCCAACTAAATTGGGAATGAAAATTCCCAGTGAGGCTTACTTTGAAAATGTGAATCTATTTCCTGACTTACCAAAGATCGATTTTCAAAGACCTTTAAGTGTTAAGAATTTAATGGAGTTTCTTGGTGTTCGTAAGGTAACCAGAAATTTCTTTGAAATTTTAATTTATTTTTTAATAATTAAACTAAATTTCTAAACTTATTTATAGGTTGTTGAAATAAACCTCATTATTGATCGTCTTACTAATCATGAAGATTGCGATTATATGCAACTTATAAAATATCTTACTTTAAAGTCAAATGATCTCAAACAAAATGACAAAAATATGTTAATGAACGGAAGAATCTGGCCAGGTTCGCAACAAACTCAACGTTTCGTTATTAGTGATCTACATATACCTTTAGACCTTCATCGCGATCTTGGTTTACCGGTAATTGATTGGAAAGTAAGATGGACTCGTAACACACCAGAAGGTACACATATTACTATTATTTGATTTATTATGTACATTTTTTTTAATTACAAATAACAAATAAATTAATAAACTTTTTTTAGAGAAATTTTTAATTGACTTGGGTATACAACAATTTCCTACACTTACAAAAATTCTGGAACTGGCAGCATCTCCATCTGATTCTGAAATTCGCTACAAAGCTCTCAGATATTTTATTAATCATTTTGATAGAACATATTCTAGAATTTATCATCCAGCTGAAGTAAACGTTGAATTTTTGCCTTGTCTACATGATAATTATGCAAAACCCTTAGAGTGCTTTATTAATCCTGAATGCACGGTAATGGGTTTCAAAGTTATTAATGGAGAGTTGCAGTATCAAGTGGGAAAATTAGGTGTCCGCCAACATCCTTATCGTGAAGAGCTTTTAAACGAGTTATTGCAGAATCCTCCACGAGATGTGGTTAATGCGGAAAAAATTTTTGAATATTTGGCGACACGACAAACAGATTTTAATCGTTCTGATTTGAATAGACTTGCTAATTTTGATTTTATTCCAATTCGAAATCAATCTGATGGAATTTTCCTTACCAGACCATGTAAATGTTTTTTTAAAGTTCAAGACGAGTACGTATTTATTTTCTCTTTGTAAGTTCTCTCTTTAATTTAAAAAAAATTAAAAAAATCTTCTTTTTAGATTGAAAGTTTTCTTTTTACAAATTGATTTTGGAGATAAGGCCAACAGATTTCTGCAAAGTTGTGGTGTCAAGGATGAACCATCTTCAATAGAGTATGCTGAATTATTGATAAATTCATCGCGTAGATTGTGGCAATTAATTGGTGTAGAAAAATATTTAAATATTTTGAGGAAAATCGCTAATGACTTTAATAGTTTTGGAAATATGACTAGTAAATTAGGTTTGGTTTCAGGAATGAGAAAAGAACCAATTTTAGTTGCTATAACGAAAGAAAATAGAGAAATCAATTCTGAAATGAAAGAAACCAATAATTCTCGCTTAGGTACGGCCAAAAAAATTTATATAAATGATGATAAAATATATCAAGGAATCTTTAATCCATTGACAGCTCCAGAAGAGGATAACTTAGAAACTTTATATAAGGTATATAACTAATTCTTTTTATTATATTTATACGAACAACATGCACTAATTTTATAGAATTTTTTTATTTAGAAATTAGGATGTAAATCACTACGTGATTCTGTAAAAGAAGCTTCAATTCCAAAAGGCAGTATCCGAGTAACCGATAAATCTCAACAATTTCAAGAAATAATTATAGAAAGAGCAAGTTTATTTTATTTTAAAAATCCTAAAGATGATATTAAAAGTGATGATGAGTGGCTTAAAAAATTAAAAGTTAGAGAGATTGATTATATAGAAACAAGCTATACATTAGGAAATAACAAAAAGACTAGGAATAATAATACTAGCGTTCTTCGAGATGATAATAAAATGGATTCTTGGACTCTTTATATAACGTGTAATTCGACTTCGCTTGATATTTCAAAACACATAGTTAGGAGTATTTACAAATCACATGAGTGGAAGAATATCTTTGCTGTTAACACACTTTTAACTGCGTCTTTACAAGATTTAAAGGAAATGGGATATCCAGTCGAACGTATATTACAACAACACAATCCAATAGCTGCTAAAGTAAATACGAAACAAGAAAACGGAAAACCTATTTCTAATGTTGTTAAACCTTCAGTAGATAATATTTCTATACCCTTTCAATCTCAATTATATCCAGGGCAAGGAATATACCAAAGTGCTAGTACATCAAACCCTAACAGTTATACGAATAAGAAACCAATTAATATTACAAATAAAGATCCCGTCACTATAACAAATAGAGAATCGGTTGATATAACGAATAGGGGATCAGTTACAATAACGAATAAGGGACCAGTTACTATAACTAATAGGGAATCAGTTACTGTAGCTAATATTGAACTAGTTAATATAACAAATGAGCGTTCAATTAATATAACAAACGAAAAATCTGTCGACATAAAAAATAGAGAACCAGTTCCTATAACTTCTGAAACTACTCGCACTCTGCAAAAGTTTTTACAAGATACAATAAAAACTTTTTATTCTGATCCAAAAGGTATTACTAGTAATCAAGCCAACACAAAGAACATCATAAAAGCTTGTAATTTCGACAGGGGTAGTATTATTAATCATCAAGATAGTATCAAAATTGTCCATGAAAACCAAATGAATTATTGTAACATTGTAACGAGTATGTAATATTATACTATTTTATTATTTTTACCAATTCTATTTTAATTTTTTTTTTTATTTTTCAGATTTACATTGTGTTAATACCTTCGAAGGAGTCGAACTTCATATTCCTGAAGACTCAGTTCAATTACCTCAGGCGTTCAATGCTTCATTAAACCAATTTATTGGTATACTGATAAATCTTGCAGCTGTTTTTGAACTCACTCCAAAAGATATTCACGTATTTTATGATGAGACTTCAAATTCAATTGCATTCAATCGTAATAATGAATTATTTTTCAATTTAAAGTTTTATTGTGAATTACATGATGAAGAATGTAAAAATAAACCTACAATTAATGCTATGACTTATTGGTTCATGATGATTTGTCATGAATTATCACATAATTTTATTCAACATCATAATTCTGAACATGAAGTAAGTATAATAATAATACTTTTAATAATATAATTCATACATATATCTAATTTTATTTTATTTTATTTTTTCGATAGTACTACTTTTTATTATTTGCGGAAATTTATATGCCAAGTTTCTTAGAAACATTGAGAAGATGCGAAATTTTTTATTAAAAATGGTAATATGAAAGGTAAAATAGCGAAATAACAATGTAGAACGGAGATTTATTATACTGTGAGTTCGTACAGTATATTTGTTAGTTTTTTTTTTTGTTATTATTTTTTTTTTGTTATTTATATCATAATTATATATATTTGTTCTTCGAATTTAAATCTAATAAATATTAAATATTGAATTATTTTCCTACCAATTGATCAAAATTTCCATTCCTTAGTTAATATTAGGTTTAATAAATAAAAGAACTCACTATAAAATTATGTTAATGTTCTGTTTGTTAATATGAGAAATGAGAAAACAAGAAGGGGATGAAGTCTCTCGCCATGTATCCCTAGTTAATAAATATGCACTTAAGATATTTTTTCTGTTACTATCACATGACTTATCCGAGCCGTGAATTGAATTCCTTTTTTAATTACAAAATTCATGAGTTGACGGTCCTAACTAAGATACTGTATGTGTGTAAATGTATAATTTTTTCTTAATAAATTATTGTATTAAGAAAATAGTAAACAGATATAACATTTATTTATTATGAAAATACAATATCAGTTGCATCTACAGGAATTTATTCCTCTCTTTTTACCAGCTTTTGTTTCTTTGGTTCCTTGGGGTTAGAGCTTGGATACAAGTTAGAACAACTAAAGTCAACTTGAGTAAAATGAGTTAAAAATCCTCAAGTTAATGCCATAGTGCAATGTGCAGACCAAAATTGTTCATAATTTTGATACCCATTCCCTGTTGTAATAACAAACTTCGCACTAAACTTCCCTCTAACGGTAATGAAGGCTGACATACTGGCCAGCATTACCGATCACAAGAACAAAGCCATAGACTGTAAACCAATTTTCATAATTCTTTCACTATCCTTCTTGCTGTACTCAATCATGGCTATGGGATAGCATTCCACTTATTTCTATTCTGTGAACTCTACTTGTATGGGGTAAAAATATATTTTTTTTTCCCAATCCGAACTTGGGGGAGAAATATTTTTTTTTTCATCCCAATTCTGAACTTGGAGGAAATTATTTTTTTATCCCCATCCACAAATAAAGAAAATTCTTCCCAATTCAGATGATACGAATAGGGCATGAAAAAAATAATTTCTCCTAATTCGATGCTCATCATACATGCTACTTCTCGTGCCATGTTAGACATCTCCCCTATGCTATCCATGCTACATGTTGCTCACGTTTATCTCCGCGTTGTGGGTCTTCGATCACGTGGCAGATTTAATATTTTTGATTGGCCAGATTGGCTACATGATCTTGTCATGTTTATTTGTTTATCGAATCTCATCTCATTTTCAGTATAGGTTCAAGGTTCGTTTCCTTGGTTCTTTCGGTCTCAAGGTATTTTCTTTTTTTCTTTTGTTTTTATTTCTAACTTACATTCTTACACTTTGTTTCTTACTAACTCTATTTCATTATTTTTAGGTCCTTTAGTTCTTCCGGTTCTGCAATTAAGGTTCAGTTGTTTTTCACTTTACGTTTCGTTTCGTATCTTTTATTTTTTTTGAATTGCGGTACTTTGCGGAATTTATTTTGTTTCTGTTACATATTTCGTTTTCACTAATTTTATTTCATTTTTTTAGATCTTATAATTCTTCTGGTTCTACAATTAATAAAGGTATGTTTCTTATTTTTATTTATTTTTATTTATTTTGTTTCTATCTTATATTTCGTTTCTTACTAGCTTCATTTTTTTTTATTTTATGGTTTTATTTTTCATCATTATCTTTTGCTACCCAACTCCTATCATGATCTTTTTTATTTTTTGTCTCTCATCATTTTCACCTCCTATTACTTCTCATTATTCTATCCTTTTCGTCTCCCATTATTCTCTATTACATTTTTTCATTTTCCATTATTTCTTTTTCTCTCTTTTTTACTCCCGTCACTTCTTTTCGTCTCCCATCACTCCTTTTCATCTCCCATAGAAAAGGATTAAAGAAGCAATCTATTCAAATCGCTCCTTTTTTGATCATTGTAATTTACTTATCTTTTCTTTTATTTGTATCACTTCATTAAAAATAAATACAGTGATTTTTTCTTTAAAATCGTAAATGTGTGATTTAATTTTAATATTTGCAAATAAAATTTCATTAGATAAGATTATTTTGAATAAATATGCTTTCAAAAAAAATTTTTTTAAAATATCTTTTGCGATAAAATTTTAAGTTTAGCCGATCAAAAATTAGCTAAGTTAAAAAAATCAGCCGTCAGCCGATTAATAAATTTACTTGTACATCATGTGACATTTGAAAAAAAACCTAGCAATTCCCATAAAATTTTACTATTTATCAAAGTTTACTGTTATATTTAACATTTACTTGTTTTAGTCATTAAGCTAACTTTGTTCACGTGTCCATGATTGGAAATAAAAAAATTTTGACCAAAACTTTGGATTTTGCCCTTTTCTACTGACCACCTTTCATTTATCCGCTTAAGAAAAATATTTTTAAATAGCTTCATTTCTTACTTTATTTATTAATATAGGAATAATTTTTGTAATTATTTTTCATAGATAATGGAAACTAAATAACACAGTCAATTATTTTAAAGGCAACTTTCTGATTTTATTTAAGATAATTTAAGTATCTTTGAGCAATAAATACTTTTGACATTAAAATTTTGAATTTTGAGAAAATATTTATGTCATTAAATACCAATTTTTTTTACAATAATTCATGTTATTAGGGTTATTAGGAAAAAGGATGTTATAATAGATTGAAATTTTAATTTATTGTTTTGTCATAACATTAATTATCTTTATTTTACAAGCAGTTGAAATTTTTATAATCTTAACCTACTTTAATGATGATTATATCATAACTGAATTCATTCGTTAATACGAATTTTCTTCACATAATAATAATGGAAATTACTTCTTTTTATAATTTTTTGTACAGATTTATAGTAATTAAAACTAATTGGACAATACATTTTTTAAAAATTTTTTAACCTAAATAATTTAACGTGATTGATTCTAATTATAATTTTTAATACATATTGTTACTGATAATGTATTTTTCAAATTCAATGAAGTACCTATATAGTATAATGAAATTTTGGCGTTTGATGATCGACACAGCTTTTTTTTTGTGAAACAAGTATTTTGGTTTGGAATTTGATTGAAAAGGAAATTTATAATCAGTAGTGATTTCTGTGATCATCAGCTGACTTCTTGAACGCTTTATTGTTTTTGCCTAAATTAAAAATAATTTTGTAAATCGCTGCTGTGCAACTGTTATACGTTTAAATACGCCCTTTTTTTTTAAAAAAAAAAAAAAATTTTTTTTTACTCCGTTTAGATATAAAATTGAGGTAATATTTATTAATCCAATATGGAAGAATTTATACTCAATGATGATGTACTTGAGCAAATAAAAGATTTTGACTATAAGAACCTAACTGAAGAACAAAGTTTTTAATTGATAAGTTAATATCAAATGAAGAATTAAAAATACGTTATAAAGAAAATGGTTTATGCAAAGAATGTAAGCAACCTAGAGCTTCTGATCGTTGGTGTCAATGTAAATTCCAACAAAATTTTAAAAATTGGACTAGTGGAAATCATGAAGTTGACAAGTTTATTCAAAAAGTACAACTTAAAGCTAAAGATTATCATGACGTTTTAGAATGGATTGAATATGATAGATTTGAAAATGTTGAACACTTGGCAAAAGGAGGATTTGGAACTATTTATAAAGCAATTTGGAAAGATGGACGTATAGATAAATGGGATTTTGAGAATAATAAATTGATAAGAAGTAAATATTGGTTTAGGGAATATGAGAAGTTTCCAGTTGTTTTAAAATGTTTACATAATTCTCAAGATATTACATCCGATTTTTTAAGAGAAGTAAGTTACTTATTTGTATATAGTAATTTCAAGATATTGTCCTGCTATTATAAATGTTAAACTGTCTATTAATTATTATTATTATGGATTTTTTTTTAGATTGAAACCCATAATATGATTTCACACTCAATTTTTATAACACAATGTTTTGGCATTACTAAAGATCCAGAATCTAGAAATTTTATAATAGTAATGGCATATGTAATAAATGGTAGTTTAAGACAACATTTAAATAATAGTTTTAATTCAATAAAATGGTATAAAAAGTTGGATATTTTAAGAACAGTTGTGGAAGGCCTTGATTTTATTCATCAAAAAGGGTTAATTCATCGTGATTTTCATTGTGGTAATATATTAAAAGAAGACAATTATGCTTTAATTACTGATTTAGGATTATGTCGACCAGCAAATGTAAAACCATCCCAAAATGAATGTAAAGAACTATATGGGGTATTACCCTATGTAGCACCAGAAGTTTTAAGAGGAAAAGAATTTACTCAAGAAAGTGATATATATGGATTTGGAATTATTGCATATGAAGTCTGTACAGGGCTTCCTCCTTATCATGATATTGCTCATGATAAATTCTTAACTATTAGCATTTGTCAAGGACTTAGGCCAAAATCAAATTATAAAATTCCTCAATTAATTCTAAACATAATTAAACAATGTTGGGATGCTGATCCTTTAAAACGACCTAAAGCTATTGAATTGTATAATTTATTCAACAATTTATGGAATGAATCATGTGATAATGAATCTGAATTCAAAAAGCAAATTGAAGAAGCAGATAAAATTAATGAGAAGTTAATATCATCATCATTATCATATACTGGTCCTACTCTTTCATATACTACAAATCCTCAAGCAATTTACACGAGTAGACTTTTAGATTTTAAAAATCTTCCAGAACCAAAAAATGATATTGATAACAAGGATGAATAATTCATTTGGAGAATATTCAGGTAAATAATTTCCTAATTTAACTTTACAAAAGTATTCTTTAAATATTTTATTGATGTATATAATTATTTTTTTTATATATTATAGAATCAATAGAAGCAATAGATTTTACTAAACTAGACCTAGGTACTTATATACATTAACTTTTTACATTATTTATTTTATTAATAATATTATTTAATAATTTATTTTTCACTTATAGATAAAAGTAACTGAATTAAAGAAAGGAAAGTGATCTTGGGTGTAAATTTCTTTATTATTTACTATTTATTTTTTTTAACATTACTACAATATGATATTTTATTGGAATATATTTTTTATGATTAAATAAAGTATTTATAAAATTATATGAAAAATAAATATAATAAATTGTATGTAGTTTGTTATAAAAATGTAACAAAGTAAACTTACATTAATATATTATATTATGTTAATTTTATTATAAAGTTACTCAACCCAAAAAGTAGGTTAAAAACCTATCATGACCTGGTCCAAATTTTTAGTTCAGGTTGGATCGGGTACCTGATCTGAGCTGATCCACTAATTAGATATTTGACGGTTGAGACATAGTGATTAGTAAATTAATTAGGTAAAACTAAAAACAATAGAGGGAACGGTAAACAATTGTGAAGAACAAATATGTTAAATAAATTTAAAACAAATATAGAAAATTCGTTTAACGTGTTCGAGTTGGAACTAGTAACAATTGTAGCGGTGGTAATTATACTTCCTGCTGATGATAATAAAGTTGATTTATATGTTGATAATATGAGTGTTTTGCAATATTGGAAAAACTTTGATAGATAATTAGAATTTTACTGCCGTATGCAGTAGGACTTTGTCCCTATAGTTAATTTCATTTGTATTGTTTAAACAAATAAACTAAATAAACATATAAATTGAAGTCTTTTTTTTAATTTTTTAATGAAATAAATTCTCAGGTCTGTACTAGTTTCCATTAACAATTAATAATAAAGTAAATTATATGATTTAATTTTAAAATAATGGGTTTTTTTTAACAATAAATTAAATTTACGTTTTGTTAGATCATTTCTGATCATTGAATAATTTTATAGGTAATTCGTATTATTGATTATTGTATAGCCATTAAATTATCCAGCCAATTGATTTAAATTTTTTTTTATTTTATCTTGCGTAAAATAGCCATGCATATACGAGATACATATAAAATCAAAATAATTTTATGACTATTTTGAATATTAAAACAATTAAAAATTTTTTATTTTATTTAAAAAAAAAACATCCAAAAGAAAAGGAATAGAACTCTTTTACTAAGTACAATTAAAATTCATTTTTTTAGGTTTAAGCCAGATTGAAGATTAAAATCGGGCTGCGAATGTTTAGAATAGTTATTTAAATAATTTTTTGATTTGTGTAACATGAAACCGTGACATAGCGTCTGATCAATGAGGATTATTTTCGTAATTATGAATAGTTATAAATTTACGTTATCCTAGAATGAAAAATATATAGAACAAATATAAGTAAGTTATATAATTAAACCTGGAAATTTTTGCTATTAGCTAGAAAAATTTTTTTGTGCTGGTAATTATACTTCGATCATGAAACCATTTGTATGTATTTATTTCTTTATTAGCAAAAAATTAAAAAGCTTATTTTATTTACTTTGATATTATTATTTATTATAACAAACTATTAAGGTACTACATAATACATTGTGTTATGGTTCAAATCTCTCCAAGTTCTAGGTTGGTTTGGCAATTTTTTGTGCTCTAATGTCATCATTAATCTTTTCCAATGATTTAATTTGGTAATTCCTCTAATAATACATCTTTTACAAACCTTATTTTACTGTTGATATGACATGTTAACAATTTTTTTAGAAAAAATATTTCGTTAAAAAAAAAGGTGTGAATAATCATATGCACAATCAGTTTTTTTATGGGTGATCTAATGATCTATTCTATATTTATTTATGGTTAGAATAATTTCTATGAAGATTTTCATGGCTAAATCAGTGAAAAGGTTTAGTTTATCATGTTCCTTCCTTTGGAATTCTGTAGCAGAAGAAATTTTTTATTTTTCAAATTTAATTTTTTTTTTCAGTTTTTTTTTTCAAACCTGATTTTTTTATTTGTATTATTAAATATTTTTATTTTTATTTTTATTTTTTTGGTTCCTTTTAACTATTTTTGTTAATTTTTTTTTTTTTTTTTTTTTTTTTTTTTTTTTTTTTTTTTTTTTTT